GAGTACTGGGGTCTAATCTGGACAGCAGACTACCTGGCACAAGTCCGTGTCCCCCACGCCAAGAATCCTGCCAGAATTGATTGTCAGCCACTTTGAGGAGGTAAAAAAGAAGATGTGGAAACCAGGGAACCAGATTTTTGAGTAGTTTCACCATTTCCCCACAGTTTCCCTTAGCTTGTCCTTCAGGAGCAGTTGACAGTCTTGCACTCTGTGTTATTCACTGCTCACTACTGATTAATGGGCTTCTAATGTCATTACTTATTTCATTATCCAATCAATCTGGAAGATCAGCCATTATCTAGGAAAAACAAAAAAGACGATTTCTTTCTGGCATTAAGTGGTTGGCTAGCAGGGTAAAGTGCAAGGTTCACATTTGAGAATAAGAGCAAGACATTATTAGCAAGAAAATTTGCAGTGAAAGCCATCTGTAAATTTGCATTATCCAGACGAAGGGTAGAGTCCGGCTATCAGAGGAGGGGGTGCAGAATGCAGAGATAAGTGAGGGAGGCAAAAAAACCGTACGGACCCTATGAAGAGCCCAAGTGGAGCCTGAGAGTTGGTAATAACAGTGGTAGCAGTAATAATAATAATAGTACACCTTGGAAGTCGGGTCCTGGGTCAGACCTCAAGTGTGCGAGGTGCTGTGCAATTGCAGACAAAATGGCAAATAAGTTATTGCTTCAAAGCTCTTAAAAAACGTGTAGAAGGAGAGTGAGGCCAGACGGCTAGCGACAGATGGGCAGGGGAGAAGAGCGAGGTAACGGCAGCTGGCACGAGGAGGGTACGTCTCAGGGCACCAGCAGGCTCACGGCTGTTATGGAGGTGGTTTCAGGGAGGATAACAAGGTGCGTATGTGGATCATTTGGGGGGACTGGGCCAGCGCAGTGGAAGGAATAAAGCGCTCTTTCAAAGTGTAATGAGAACCTGATAGTGGCTGACACTGCTGGATCGTTGAAGGCATGGGTTGATGTCCCAACGGGAATTGGAGATGGTGGGTCAACCAGCTTGTACCTACAAACCATGAAGGGTCCTGGCAGTGGAGGCACTGGCTTGTCTTGGATGCAGAAGAGAAGGGGGAACTGTGGAGAGGCATGTCCAAGGTGGTGGGGAAGGAGCTTTGCAGATGTCTTTTGAATGGCAGTGCTACAGCAGGTGGCATGTGGTGATGGACAGGAGCTTAGTGACGTGATGCGTTGGTCAGACTTTGAAGTCTTGTGTGTCTCAATAGGGAAGAGATGCTCTCTGAAATGGACCCCCTGCCCGGGGTCTCCGAGTACCCATCGCAGGTGGGTGCCCTGCAGAGGTACCTGCGAGACTCTTGGCAAGAGCATGGAAGAGCCAGGGCTGCCCCGGCTCCTCCTCCCACACCCACAGCCCTGTAACATGGGAGCACCGGCTGCACCCAGCTCGATCCCATGTCCAGGAGCAATATCTCCGTGGGAGGGAGGTGCACACGCTCTTGACTGCGTGCAGGGACCCCTGTGTTGATGTGCTCCAGGCTAGCCGCTGGTGGGAGCGGACACGGAGCACGGCTCACTGCATCGCGTGTTCGTGCTCAGAGGCGCTGTGCCGGCATCTGCCCAGCGCTTCCGAGGAGATGCCTGCAGACGCTGCAGGTCTGCTCTCTCGCGACTACCGGGCTGCAGCTGAGCCAGCCCTGGATGTTTCGTTTGATCTGTGCCAACTCTGCGTTGCAAAACATATGAGCAAATCGCTGTTGCCCCCCTGGAAGGAGCAGGGCTGCGTCCCAGAGCACACTATTCCCATGGCATTTAACATTCTCTGCAAAACCAGCTTTTATTTAGAACTGAACATCTGTTCCAGATGTGGTTATTCGCTGCCTGCGTTGCTGCACTCCTGCCATTGTTGTCCTGCTACACAGTGAAAGGCTGGCATGAATTATTGAAAGATCGAGTTTAAATAAATGATAAACTGGTACTGTGCGTGCGGTTAAGTTTCTGTCCATTCCTTACAGAGTCACACTGCCGGCTTTGATGTCCCCATGATGAGCTCGCACGTCGCCCAGAACCTGCCGTCTCATCTGCCTGATGGGGCTGATCGAAGAGCGTGGAGAGGGGCAGCCCAAGCATGAAGGTGGCCGAGGGGACGAGTCTCCTGGGGAGAAGGAGGAGCCGCCGCAGAGGAGCAGGCAACCAGAGTTTCCCTCCTGGCAAGTGCCTTTCTCATCTCAAACTGTTCCTCGCGAGGGGCGAGCTGGCGTGAGGGGGTGTCTTGCTGAGGGCAATCGGTGCACTGGGAGGATGGGGTGGGAGGGATGCGGACAGGTACCCAGAGTGGGCAGTGGGGACAGCGCTGGGGACGGGCAGCAGGTGCGTGCGTTGGGAATCTGATAGTGTAAAGGATCCTCAGCTAAAATCCCAGGGTAAAACCTCATCCCAGGGAAACATCTCGTGGGGCTGTGCTGAAAGCAAATGCACCCACACCATCTACACGCACATGATGCGAGGGCAAGGGGCACTCTGGGTTTGAGGCCACCATGGGTTTAAACCCGCCAAACAGCCCTTTTTTGATGGCTCTCAGCTGGGAAGTCCAAATGGATTTTTGGAAGCCTGGTAGTCTTAGAAATTGATTTTTTTTTTTTTAATTATTTTTTTTTCTTCACCATTTTGAAAAATGGCTTGACTCACAGTTGCATGAGGCTGTGGGGATTCACAGCAGACCATCTGTTTCAGCTGTTAGCAGTCATTAATTTTTTTCATATTTTTTGCTACTTTTGAGATACTTTGGGAAAAAAATATGTTCTTGATGGCATTGGAGGACTTCAAAGTCGCTTATATTTTTTTTCTCACAGAAACAATATACGCTGGATGCAGTTGTTATAAAAGAATTAAATTTTTATTGGGTTTTCTAAATGGGGAATTCATCTCCTGTGGACAAGCAGGAGGACACAGTGTATTGTTTATCTCCTTTCCACCATGCATTTGGCTAATACCTGCCTTGCGACTGTACTGCGACACATCTACTAAGGAGTTTTTTCTGAGTTAACTCTAATGTAAAAAGGCTTTCATTTAAAAAAAAAAAAATTACAGTGAGATTTTCTTTTAAGCCAATACACTTCTGGAGCTAAGTAATACTGATTAAATCAGCCTTATTGTCTCCAGTTATTCTACCCAGAAACTGGAAAATTACTCAACTCCTTGACAGGTGTTCACAGCTGATGGCTCAGATTTGTGGATCGAGTGCCGGGGCATATGGCATGATAAATAATAGAACAAACTAATCCTATTGACACCGTCCACCCTCCAGCCTGCGCACATTTATCCTCGTGCCTTGCTCTTGCCATGCGACAGCCCGGTCCCCGAGCCAGCTCCTCTCAGAGGTGCTGCTCCTGGGCCACCGACCGACGAGTTTGGCTCATAGGCATTGGTGCAAAGTGTCGCAGAGCTGGTTTTGCAGAGACCTCAGCTCGGCCTGATGGGCACGTGTCCACCATGGGTTTGCTCCCTGTCTGCTTCATTAGTTTGGTTCAGCTGGTCCTTGTGTTGGCACTTCATGTGCGAGGTTGGCACACCAGCCTCGCTGCTGGTTCCCCTGTTGCTCATGGAGGGTTTTAGATGCAGGAGAAACCATCCTTGAGTTTATGGGGCGCTGGGAAATGGCGGAGGCTGGCAGCATGAGGGAGGGTGCAGCATCTTGCATGGAAGCGTGCAGTGGGGAGATGGTGGCAGCTCCTCCAGAGGATGCTGAGTCCTGGCTTCGTGCAGACACAAAGCTGTGGCCTGGTAATGGGCAGAGCAGAGAGCTCTGCACTGGGCTGATAGTTGTGCTGGTTTGGGTCATGCATCCTTGAAAGGAAGGGCTGTGGACAGGACGTAAAACATGAGCCACGAACCTCCAAACCTACTCTTGAGTCTTATGATGGTGGAAGACTGCAGAATAGATGCTGAGTGTCTCGGACCTGTCCGTGACACCTGGGTGAGGTGACAGCCAGAGAGCTGTGGAGTAGTTCCAGCCCTCCATTAGGACTGTGGCTTTCAGCAAAATTACAAATGTGTCCTGGAAAATGCTCCTTGGAGCTGGCCAAAGAGCCGTTACTGTTTCTGGGCATGGGGGCTGGTTCTGCGCTTGGCAGCTGGCGCGGGACCGTGCTGCGGCCGAACCCAGAGTGTGCCGCTGCAGAGCAAGCTGGCACCGGGGGACACCATGGGGATGGTGGCTCCTGCTGCCTGCTTCAGGGTGGCACAGGCTGGTAGAACCCAAATATCTCTATAGTGCAAAACAAAGGGTCCATAGGATGAGCCCAGAGAGCTCAACATCAGGTCTGTAGTGCTCCCACATGCGTTTTTGGGTACGGCCTGGGGTCCACCTCTTGTCCTTGGCGTGCAGAGGAGCAGACGTGTCCCTTCCCTCCATCTCTTGCTCTCGTTTCTGAGCAAGGCGTGCGCCCCGAGTAACCCGGGGCTGCCAGCGCACCGCGGTGCCTGCCACGAGCTCGCCAGGGGAAGGTGGAGGAATGCACATCTGGAGGCTGGGAGGCGTTTGGTGCCTGTGTGGTTTTCATTTGGAGGCCTTTCCGTTGTTGATTGACTTAATTAAAACTTTAAAAAAAACCATAAAATAGAGAAGCAGACAGGATTGGGCTTTTTTAATTTTTTTTTTTTTTAATGAAATGCCTTGCTTTGAGGACTACAGAGCCAATTTTCAGTTTGAAATTTCCTTTAATTTTATTTCTAAAGTTCTTAAAAAAAAAATATCATTTTGAGCTGCAAGCTGAAAGGAGGTATTAGACTTTGTAAACCAAACCCAACCCCAAACCTATTACCTAACTCAAAAAGCATTGTCCGTTTTGCACAGTCAATTTTCTGGGGAAAAAAAAATAATTAATTTATTTTCCAAACAAAAGCATCGCTTTTTAAAAATTAACGGAATTCACCAAGGTACCTAAAATACCCTCATGTGTTTTGCCCCAGCATGGAGAAATGTGGGTTGGTGCTCAGATGTGGGATGCTCATCCTACCTGCTGACAGCCTGCTCTGTGGTACAGAGGCTTTCCGGGGAATGGCTCAGGATTTGTAGGTTTGATGAAGAGGGAGGAAGATGATTAGCGATCCCGGGGCTCCCATTTGTTCTTCATGCCCCAACGTGTCTGCTTTTCCTCCCAGCCATCCTCCTCCTCCCTCTGTCAGGTCAGACCTCGGTGCATCCCCGATACCCCGCTTGCGGCACAGGGCACAGCCCTTCTCAGCGTGCCTGAAAATCACTGCCCAGATCCCAAGTGAGATGTAGAAGTGGAGGAAAAAAAAAAAGAAAAAGAGAAGAAAATATCTCCCCATCAGGAAATTTGCCTATTAACACCCCAGACACAAAAGTCTCAATGGAGCTTTTCCCCTCCGAAGCAGCTAAAATGTCTCTCACTGATGGGAAGTCTAAAAATAAGTGCGTTCTCCGCAAACAGCTTAAAGATGTTGAAAATGAAAAGCAACAAAGGATGTAGAACGTATGAGTCACTAAATTACAGGGCTATCTTTCTAAGAGCAAAACAAAACAAAACAAAAAATAAAATAAAAAACAACCCTAAACCCCAAACCCTCCCCTCTGAAATTCATTGTTAGCGTTCTGGGTTTGGTTTGGGGCTGGTTTTGCCCCACAGTGCCTGTGCAGACAGTCATCTTATTTTTGTGGGCTGGCGAAGGGCTGAAATCTTATCCATTTTTATTACATGGTGTGCCAGAGCTGCTCTGTATAAATAATAAGAGTAAAACCAGTCTGCTCAATGGCATGAGCAGGAGGTGCTTTTCTCTCGTACATGGGCATTTCTGTTGATTTTTTTTGGAGATAACCCCCCCTTGCACGAGCTCGCTGGATGTCAGGCTTTCTCGTCGGAAGGAGTGTAAGTGTACATTTGTCTCGACAGCATGTTCTCCTGGCCCCAGCTAAGCCACAAGTGTTTGGACTCTTGGTTGAGAGCGAGCAGATTTTTGTGGGTGTAATCGCATTTGTCTATAGCTTTAGTTTGTTGAGATAATGTAATTTAAAGGAGTTCTCTGTTCAGGGTTTGTTGGGTGGTTTTTTTATTTTCCTCCCCTTCCCTGAAGGTCTCATTTCGTGATGAGCTCCGCTGGGGTGGACTCTGTTGCAAAACTGAAGCTTTTTTAGCATTTTGCAGATGAGCTCGAATCAAAATCTTGGCGTTCGAGGCAGCGGGGAAGTGGATGGCCGGGTGCCAAACCTGTGCCTACATCTGATGTGTGCAGCCAGCCCCGGTCCCTCTGCCGGGCTGCGGTGAACCCTCACGTCCTCGCAGATGGTAGGGGCTGGAGATGCAGCTCTGCCAGCGCAGCCGTGGCCCGAGCCCACCATTAGCCTGTGCGATACCCTCCCCGGGGTCTGAAGGAGCTGGAGGCCGCCCCTTTCCACCCCTCATCGTCGACTCCTTCATCCATCCTCTTCCTCGCTGTGGCGAAGGGCGGCAGGACCCCCAGCCCCTTGCGGTAGCCGGCTGGCACACTCCCGGCCCAAATAGCCCATCTGGCAATAAATCAGTTGCCCGAGTTGGCAGGTACGATAAAGGCTGTGCACAACGATTGTAAATCCTGGAGCGGAGCTGGCTCGGCAATGATTTAATTTAGATATTTCGTTCCGAAATGCGCTAATTAAACTTCAGAACAAAGCATCCAGTGCAAAAGCATAGAGGGATAAAAAGTAAAACTCAAAGTTTCTCCTGGAATAATTAACCATCATTAAAACATGAAAATCCAGGCTAGGGAGCAATTGTACGCCTTCCACAAAGCATTTCATCAGAAATAATGGGATGAAATTAAGCAATACAAAAATGTAGGCTGAAAGTTGAGAAACTTATCCTGCTCGTGAGAGCCATTAGACTGTGAAATGTTGCTGAGCCCTCCCCAGGGAGCGGCCGAACGCGTATTTCTCAGGATGTTTAAAACTGGACTGGACAGAAACCCCTTCCCCAATACTGTGGGGAATAATTATAGAGCTTTGTGCTTCAAAGGGCCTTATGGATCTTTTGGATTTCTAATTTTGGTGGGTCATCCCTAAGCCAGCCAAGCTATTTCATTTCAATAGAGGACTTTCTTATCTGAGGGACCTCTAAGTTTGACCCTACAGGCCTTACATCCAGATATTATAAGGGCTATTTTTAAGACGCCAGCCTCTTCTAAAATCATACGCTGGCTTGCCCTGCCTCCCCTTG